GGACCGCAGCCGCGTCGAAGTCGTCGAAGTCGTCGTCCGGACGGCGGGTGTTGCCAGGCGGCCTTCTGGGGCTTTTATCCTGATTGAACAGGTCACCTCAGGGTCAGCAGCTCGCGGCGGCTTCTGCAGGCCGGGCCCAGCCTGGCAACAAGGCTTGGCTGCGTTTCTATAGTCATGCTCGCGACCGAACGGCCGGCAATGCCGCTGCAAATTGCACGAATCCTATGAATGAGTGCCAGAGTCTCCTTCTGTCAGCTGCGCGCGACGCCTCGGCGGCGTGTCGTCTTGGGTCGTGCGCGTCGGGCGCGCACGTCGGGCGTACCCTGCTCGGCCGGGCTGCGGGGTCGGAGCGGCGGACAACCCCCCCCCCCCCCTCCCCCCTGCTCATCACACGGTCGGTAGCGTCTGATTGTCTTGGCCGAATGCAGCATACGTAAACACGCCGTCCGTGGGGGGGGGGGGGGGGAAGGGGCTCAAGTCAGCAGCCGTCTCAGCGCTGGGTGCCGGCCGATGAACTACACTGCTTTGAAATGACGTCATGAGACGCGATAGTGAACGAAGGGACACCTGCTTGCCTTGCATGGCATGATGCTTTGCAGGGATAGATGGTTGCTTCAGTTGCGGGGGTCGTTTGTTCGCGATCTGCGACCGCCTTTGTTTTTGTTTCTCCGAGCGGGCCGACGAACAAGACTGCTCTGAAATGACGTCATAAGACGCCGTGGCGAACGAAGGGACATCTGCTTGCCTTGCATGGCGTGATGCTTTGCAGGGACAGATGGTTGCTCCAGCTGCGGGGTTGTTTGCTTGCGACTCACGGCCGCCTCTGTTCTGGTTTCCCCCACAACAGTGAGCGTGTGAGACGACACAAGTGGCCGCCTTTGTTGCAGGCGTCGTCAAAAGCTTAAGTGAAGCTACAAAAGCCTGAGTGAGGTAACAATGGCTGCCACTGTTTGTACTCCCTGTGCAAATGCCGCTGGAAAACGGCGCGGCACGAAGTCTTGTCCTTCGCCCAAGCGCTGTCGCTTCAGGTGCCTGTCGTGCACATGCCGTATTATCTTTTTGCCCCGATGTTTTTTAGATGATCGAGGTTTACTCCGGCTGGATGGCTGGATGATGACGTTGACGGCGTAGATGACGATGGCGACGTAGCGCCTGGCCTGGGTCATATCCGCGCCCGTCTGTCTGGCTCCCAGCGCGGCGGTCGGAGGCGCTATTTTCCGTGGCTCTCGCCCCCGTTCCGGCCGCCGGGAGGCGCAGGAAGTTGGCTGTTAGCTAGCCTCCCCTCGGGCCATCATTTAGTAAACAGCGCCCGTTAATATGGCTGGTTATCCCCGGCTGGTCGGGGCCGCCGCCGGGATGAAGCCATCGCCGTTGCCGATGCGGTCATAAACTCTTGTTCCCGTTGTGTGCATCGAGCGGGCCCCGCGGCGGGCCGAGGTGTCGGAGGTGCGGCGGCGGGGCCGCCTCCTCCGGCGGTAAACGACGCCGAAGAGGGCCCACAGCGTGCTGAGAGCGGCTGGAGTACTCTTAAGTAGTCAGCGGCCCGTGGGGGTGCTCAGAGTTTGCCGGCAGATGTGGTTATAATTAAACGGCAGCCCGGAGTGTTAAGCCTTGGGAATGCCGCCCTGAGGTGCCCTGAGGTCTGGCGTAGTTGGCAAGGCGCGGACGACGAGCCGGCCGCGGCCGCGGCAGGCAGGCCAGCAGCAGGCCGCGGCCTGCTGCTGGCTTCCCAGCTGCTGCTGGCTGCTGGCTCGTGGCTTCCCAGCAGGCCGCGGTCCCAGGACCATCACGTTCGTTCTGGGATCATGAATTAGTCTTGGAATCCCACTGGAACCCCAGAAACGCTGTCGTGATGTCGGGACCATTATCAGAACATCTGTCGGCCTGCGGCCGGTGCATCTGGGACAGGCGTCCGTACGCGTTGATCCCATTTCCGCGGAGGACCGGCGCCCCCGCAGGTGACTCATCATCAGCAGAAGCGCCAGTGCGAGGGGACTGGCGCACGTCCTGCACGTGTGAGGGCTTGCGTGCAGGGCCGAACAGCTGATTCACGGGCCGCCTGGGCGCTCGCCTTATACGGCCATGGAGCGCCGCCTGCGTTTTTGTTCGCAGCCGGCTGGCCACGGCGCTGCGCCGCCCATCGCCGCTCGTCGCCACTGTCCCCCGGCGCGGGGGAGGGGCGGGTGGGCCTGGCCGGCGCTCGGCGGCCGGTAGGGAGCGAAGCGCAGGCCGGTAATGGGCGCCGCTGCCGGACGCGACGCGTGCGTGCATCCTCTGTCTGGCAGCCTCCGACGCCGGCTGACCCGCGGCTGCCTTTCACTTTCACCCCGCCCGCGCCGCCCGACCCACATCGGGGTCAGCGACCCGACCTTCGGCCGGCCGTCTGCGGCCGCCCCTCATGGCACTCCGCGGCGGGTCACGTGACGGGCCGCGGGGCCGAGGGGGGAGGGGGTGCGGGGCGCCGCTTGGTGCACGGGTGGCGTCCGCCGCCGGCGGCGGGGGGGGGGGGGGGTGTCACGATTGTCGTGCCCGTCACGCGTCCGGCGCCGGCCCCGTTCATTGATGCATGCACCGGCGGTGGGCGGCCGCCTCCCCCGCCGCCGCGCCCGGACGAGGGTGGCCGCTGAACGGCATGCAAATCGCTCTGCGGCACGACAGCGGAGGGGCAGTTTTTAGGAGCGCCCCGGCCCGGCCGGCGGCGGCCTCGAAAATGTAGGCCGCGGTCCGTGTGCGTGCGCTGATGGCGCCCCCGTTGGCGGATGTTGCGTCCCAGACCGGTAATAACGGCTGCATGACCGTGAGCATTGCCATTAGTATACTGATGAGCCGCTAACCGCGTTGAAGCGGTTTGCAAGTGCATTATTTTCAGCGTGCCTCATGTCGGACGGCATCCGTTTGGCGTGGCGGCAATGTCACCGAATCGGTGCGACCGTTCCCGCAAGCGCTGTCACCGGGTCAGTTGTTCCGGTCATTTCCGGCCGTGGTCGGACGCCGCCGGAGCGCCGTGACCGCACCTCACCAGCTCAGCCGGCAGGGTTCGGTACTGCGACCGAGCTGTGCTCGCCATCCTCAGGCTTAAGCAAGCTGTGACGGCCTGGCCACATGCTGGCTGGCCGCGCTGGTGCCGTCTTATCTGAGATGCGCACGCGGCATCCGCCCTGTTGCGATGCTATGACGCAACGCAACGACCCAGGACTCCTCAAAGCAAGCGACCATTTTTGCCTCGTTGCGTCACGATCTGGCGCAACGGAGACCCAGAACCGCGCGCGGTCGCCGGACCTTTTCGGGAACAATCAGAAGAACAGCGAGGGCCTGACAAACATCACGGCTCCATAACTGGCGCGGCAGCGCGCCGCTGCGTTATCACCGGTCTTGTAGTGAGTGGCGTTCGGCAGGCGGGCGCCCGCCGACCTCGCCGGCGTGCGTCCTGTCCGCGCCGGAACCCAGCCCACACGCCGTCCGAACACACAGCCCAGGTCGGCCCAGACGCTAACGATCTTACCTGTTTGGCGTGACAAACGGCTCTGATTGGCGATTGGCGATCTGTCTGGCGTGTCTGTCTCGTCAGGGTCGGGCGTCCCGTCCGGTGTCGTCCTCGTCTTCTCGTCATCGCGTCTCGTCAGTCCTCCTCCGTGTCACAGCTTCTCGCCGGCTCTCCGCAGGGGCCGCCTCCGCCCTCCGGCTCCCGCCCTCTCTCCACTCTCCCCTCGTCAGCCACGCGCGCGCACTCGGCCCCCAACACGTATGCGTAGGCATGAGGCCCGGCGGGACCGTTACGTGGTGGAATGCGACCGCCCGAGTCCCGTCCGCCGCCTCTTCGACCCCCATTGTGCCAGCCGCGATCGGCGGTGCCGGCGACAACAGAGACTCCGTGTTCGTGCTAAAACCGAGGCGGCCTTTACCCGTGTCGCGTCCGCCGCAGCGGTCTCTTGCAACACCGGGTCGCAGGCGGATGGACTCCCGATAGCGGCCCGGCGCAGGTCCTTGCTCTCGGGTCGAACAGGGGCCTTGCGTTTCGGGCGGCGCGGGCGCACAAAAAGCTCGAGAGAGATCCGCTACTTTCTCTCCCCTTGCTTCATTGTTATGCGTCGAACACATCTCATAAAAGGCCCATACAAGGGCATTTCCCGGTGCCGCGCGGGAGGGGCGTTATTTTGCCTCGGCGTCCGTCTGCTGGGAGCGGCGACGGCGCGCACTGCCTCTCATCTGCATGAAATGCCTTGCTCGACGACGACGTGCCGGCTCCGCCTCCGCTAATTAAAACGGCACTCCCGCCGATAGATAATGGTGCAGTTGTTTGTGTTCGCGCCGCCAGCTCCGGGGAGGCGTTTCGGGTGTTGGCGCCCGGTGCGCCGCCGCCTGGCCCCCGGCGCCGGCGCGCGGCGTCAGTGTGATTGTTACGAGCGGCTGTGATTGGCGGCGGCGGCCGCCGCTCGCGGGCGGCGCCTCGGAGCTGCCGCCGCCGGACCCCGGCTCCCGCGACCCGGCCGAGCTCGGGCCGCGTCGCCGGGTCACGCTCTGGGGTTGTCCGTGACGCCCAGGCCGGCCCGACAATGGGTCCCACGTCATGTTGTCTTGGCCTCGACCGCGCAGCCCGCGGGCGTCGTGCCTTGGAGAGCTTTTGTGTGACAGCATCGTGCCGCGGCAGACAGCGTGGCGCACGTTACGACGTGGACCAGTCCAAATCCACTCAGAAGCGCCGTCGTTTCTGCTGACGGTTGTCCATGATGTGCCTCCTCCTTGCATAGCATCGGACTGCTGTACTTTCATCGCGGACCTGGATGCGGCTTCAACCCCGCGGGTTTCTTGTTGAGCGCTGCTGGACTTAATTCTGGCGCTTTTTGAGACCAGGTGGGGACTCGTGTTGTCTGCTGCTGGTGGTGTCTGTTGGTCGTTGGTCTAATGTGCGTCCCGCGCCGCCCACCATGTGCGGCGTCCCGTGACCTGACTTGACCTGACCTGTCCTGACCTGACTGGGTACCGTGTCTGCGCTGTTGCAGGTGAGAAGCCGTACCGGTGCTCCTGGGAGGGCTGCGAGTGGAGGTTCGCCCGCTCCGACGAGCTGACCCGGCACTACCGCAAGCACACGGGCGCCAAGCCGTTCAAGTGTCACAGCTGCGACCGGTGCTTCTCGCGGTCGGACCACCTGGCGCTGCACATGAAGCGCCACCAGGCCGAGCTATGATCGCCGGCGCCGGCGCCGTCTGGCCGGTCGGCCGCCGTCAGGGACTACACTGCCACTGTCATTCCACCGCCGGCTGGCGGGCCCGGCCCGGGCCACACCCCGACCCGCCGCCGGCTTTTGTACGGGCCGCCAGCGAGGCACGGCGCCGGTGTGAGCTACAGCTAGTCCGCCGCGGATGTCCGCGGACCGCCAGCACCCGTTTGTGTGTCTGTCTGCGTGTGTGCGTGTGTGTACGCGCTCGCCGGCTCGTGAAAGTTTCGTTCGGGAAGTTGCGAAATTTAAAGAGGACTTCTGTCATTCAAGTTGCGCATCCACATTCATCAAGTCGTGTCGCGGCTGGTAATTACTCATTTGCTCCACTGGTACCCTAAATTCCCAATGTTCCACGAACGTTTACCGATTTACCATGACCCCATCCATCGACGAACCATATGGCCGCCGACCAGTCATTATTTCTGCCAGCTCCACTAAATTGTTTAAAAGTTGTAATAGACTAAAGCAGACGGATGTTCGTAGAAGGCCTTCCTGTCCTCTTGTCACCGAATGAGTCGCTGGCGGTTGCGGTGCAGACGGCGGCTGGTGGTGCGGTCTCAGGAGATCCGAACGAATGGCAGCACGTGCGTAGGTCACCGCGATGCGCCTGCCGCCGCGTGCTGTTCATGGTTCAAAGCCAGCGAAGCTTTAAAAGTCGGCGGTGGTGGGGGAAGAACATGAAGTGCAAACCTGCCTGTTAGCCGACTGTGTCGGAGGCGGCGGGGTGAAACTGTGATGGGATGCGTCCCTCTGGGGCGTCAGTGACTGGCGAGGGCGCGTGCGTGTGTGCGTGCGTGCGTGCGTCTGACGCTGGTCGTGCGCTAGTAGTGTCACGCTTCTGCGTCCCATTTATATCAATTGTTTTTGTTGATGTTTGATCTTGAAACGAAGCTGGTGTGCTTATTTTGATCGCTGTTTTCCATTTGCGTTCTTTACGCTGTCAATTGCTGCTGTGACTGAATCAAAATGTTGTCTTACCAGGCACGAAACGCTTCCATTGGAATGCGATGTCTCACTTCTGGCAATCGGTGGCTTGCGACCAGGTTTTTGGAGGTTTTTGGTGATGTCGGTGCTCCTGATTTATGTGGCACCTTGCTGAGCAACGTGGAAATCGCCTATGTGTGTACCATACCGGATTACGGATTCGTATATGGAGGTAGCTGAGCTAGGTGTTTTTTTCCGGCTCGGGTGTTTGTGAAATTTGTACACTTGCTTAACGTGATGTTGTCAGCCCTCGAGGGTTGAAACCTTTGCGTTTGTAGAAAATTAAGATGCGACTAACGTGTCATCACCATCACTGAACATTCAGCATGCATTTCGAGTCGTTTGTCTAGACATCAACCATTGTTCATCCATTGACGCATTGTCACGTCTCGCCGAATCCAAGGGACGCGTGTATTATGTGCTTGTGAGTGTGTGTGCCGCTGCTGCTCGTGCCGCGTCACGTGACGGGGCGCCGCGCCGGCCGTGTTTTGGGGAGGGCGGCGCGGACCCCAGCCGCGTACGGCGAGCCCGAGCTCGGCCGAACCTCCTGCCGCTGGTCCCATCCTCCGCTCGGCTGATCTCAAACTGCAGAGCGGGTCTGTCTCTCCGCTCTCCTTCACACCTGGGCCCCCCGCCGCCCTCCCCCCCCCCCCCCCCCCCGCCTTCCGCTGAGTCTTCTTGCCATGTACACGTGAGCCCCCCCCCCCCCTGGTGTTCTACGCTTGCTGCCCCTTAGCTCTCTCTCTCTCCATGTCACATGTGAGTCCGCCCCTCTCTCTACATCTACCCCCTCTCCACCCACCCGCCCACCCAGCCGTCCCCCCTCCCCCCCCGTTCATTGCCGAGCTTTACCCGCTTGTCAGTCTATCTGGGTCTACTTCGGACATGCCTTCTGTGCCGATCTTCAAAGCCATAAATCCGAAAGTGATGCCGATGCGTTTTATCCGCGATTTGAGGACAGAGGAGGCGGGACTGGCGACAGCTGTAATGACGTCACTGTTCACTATCGTTCAAAAGTCCAAACCAGCAGCGGACTGGCACAGTAAGTGACGCATCTCAGATACGTGAATAAATGTCATCCACGCAGAAGTGACATTGCTAGAGTATTTGTCCTGCGGTGGCTCTGTTCAACCCGACACCCATCAGGCCGAGCCATCCGCCTTTAGCATCGTCTCCGGGGTACACCGAGGGCTCGAGCTATCGTATGACGGGGACGAGGCGCTCTCTAGCGAAGGAGACGAGACACTCTCAAGCGAAGGTGACGTCACGCTCTAGCGAAGGAGACGAGACGCTATCAAGCGAAGGAGACGAAACGCTCTCAAGCGAAGGTGACGTCACGCTCTCCAGCGAAGGATACGAGACGCTTTCCAGGGAGGGAGACGGGACGCTCTCCAGTGAGGGAGACGAGGCGAGACACAGCGACTCCGGTTCGGCCAGTGTACCATCGTCAGCTGGCGCGACTCTGAAGGGCGCCGCTGATGCGGGGCGGCCGCAGCCCTAGCTTCCGAACAACCACGGGGGTGGGGGAGGGGTGACATCGGCGCACAGTCCGCACAAGACCGCGCGCGGGGGCCGGCTCGGTGCTGCCTGGGGACCGCGGCGTCGCCGCCGTGGGACGCGCTGTCAGCCGACTTCGCTTCCCCAACCGCAACTTGCATGTGCCGAGCATGATCAGGATCTTGGTGCCGAGCATGAACCCAACGCACGATACGCGCCGTAAAACAATCGAAGTAGTCTCACACGAGGCACGCCGCGCCGTGCTTCTTCTTTAGTTTCCGGCCCCCCGGATCGGTGCGTGAGTCATGCACAAGTGTGCAGCCTCACACAGATATCGGCTGGAGCTATCGCGTTCTGGCGACCGCGGTATCTTGAAGCGGTTCTCGCGAACTCCGGGGCTCGGAGGCACGGTGCTAGAGGACAGATACCGCTCGATACAGAGAAAATCAAACAAACAATTGGGCATCAGATAAGATACCACGAGGATTGCGTGGTACCTTGCGCTTCAAGGATGGTTGAGTTTAACAAGCCGTTCGTGACAGGAAGGTTAGAAAAACCGGTTACCACTACAAATAAGCCGCTGTTTTTTTTTGGATCAGGACTGAAAAGGAGGAATGTTTCACAGGTCTCTTTTTAAATGGATTTTTCTAACATAACTGCTCTTATTTGGTTCCTCCTGAAACGAGCAAAAAGGCTGGATCTGAATCTTAGTTTTTTTAGCCCTAGTCAGCTCCGAACAGCTGAAGTATTTTTGCTGTAATAAACACCCTCGACATGGACGACACCACAGCTCAAATGTGACTTCACTCAGATTTTGTTCGCATACAATTTTATATGGCAAAGAACAGGGGCTCAATCTGCAAAGGGCATTGGGGTTTGGATCCCCGCGGCCTCCAGTAGTGGTCATGCCCATCAGCAACCGGTTGCCAGTTTACAGACGCCTAAACTTACGTCAAGTTTTAATCCATTCCATCTGACCAGTTAACCACAAGGCAATGCTGGCTCCCACTCAAAGCCGCCGGGCCATTCAGCTAGTCTGTCGAAGTTTGCACGCTTTCTTGTGGTGTACATTAGTGCGTCTCGTTGCCATGGCAACGACCATGGAACTATGCACCGTGTCAATTGCCATGACCGGGCGCAGTTTTCAGCATGCGTTCCCTTAGGCCTGATACTAAAATGTTTATTGTTTTTCGCTAACTCGCTCCAAGAGTGAGCCTCCGAGACACCCTAAGATTATTAAAAATCAAGCAAGCTGGAGCCGCGGGGAAAATTCCATAACATAGCTCTCGTGAAGCATTATCGGCTAGGTGCATCTTAAAAGCAGGTGAATGCAACCTTTGACATGTCAAATAAGCCTACAAGTAAAATTAGAACCTCGTAGCTACTCCCTATAATGTCAGAAAATTTAGTACGCTGTGATCATAAAGGAAGGGTTTGGAATACCTCTTGAAAAAGCTCGCTCAACTGCGGTGTGGGGATAATGCAGTATTCGTTAGTCTAGCTATAACAAGAACTAAACCAGCCACGCCACTAGGTAAGTGGTGTTAGCATGGCTTTCCAAAGCTTTCAAATATACGCTAGGCTATACATCGCTAGGGTTTGAATCGCATCACCTCCAAAAGGCTAAATCTGGTCAAAAAGGTAAATGTTTTACCTAGCTTGATCCTGGATGACAGGACATTGCAAAATCAGTCTGAGCGACAGTAATGCACGTCAGAGTGATAGGGTCACGAGGAACAGCCTGGAAAATGTCTTCGAAGAGCATTTAGTAGAAAGGGGCGCGACGCACGTCATCGGGCAGCCCTTTACAGACCTCTAGCGGCTGAAGAGACCATATTAGCGCGCAGGAGTGATGGCTCCACCGGGGTTCGAACCCGGGCCCCCACGCAGGAGCCGAAGCTGCTAACCATACAATATCACGCCACCAGAAACAAGCGCTATTCGTCACCTTTCAGCAGAAAGTCAGCTGTGCGGCTTCGTGAAAGGGGTCATAGATCACGTCACCAATCGCCATGAAAGAAAGATCGCGTCGTCAGTTGTCATGAGTAGAAATATCATGTCGTTAACCCCATGAGTAGAAAGATCACGTCATCAATCGCCATTAGTAGAAAGATCACATCGTCAGTCGTCATGAGTAGAAAGATCACATCGTCAGACGTCATAAGTAGAAGCTTCAATCTGCCGCAGGGTTTGAAAAATAAAGTAATTTTCAGCTAGCTTAGCCCTAAAAACAGCGCGCAAAAAAACGCTTAAGCTGCAGGCGGTATTTCATCGCTGCGGTGAGCGCCGGTAAGAGAAATTGCCTTTGTTCCCGTGCCAGGCGTACCGCTCCGTTGATCCCCTGCAATATGCCAGAAAGTGAGTGGGTAAGACAGCTTCAGTTAGATTTTTACGCCTTAGTTGCCGCCCCCGCGAAAAAGCGTATCTGCTGATATGTTTGTGTTACCACAGAAATGCTACTAAAAGTAATGGCAGGATGCACCTGCATACACGGAGTGCGTATGTCCACAACTGGTCACTGAACAAAGTGGTCTCGCTGACCGCTTAGTCCAATTAGCGGCGAGACGTTGCTAACGTGAGTAGCATTTCCACTCCCCCGAGCCGCTGCCTTTGTGAACCTCACAAAAAGACAGCTTCTCTGTCATGCAAGCTGGACGCCGGTCGTCCTCAGATGAACCCAGCGACCGGTCTCGACCTCCGCCACAGTCATGTGAGACCATGACGCACGCGGCGGCCCCTATGTCCGCCGCCTGTTCCCTTCCTGGCGCGACCCGGCTGGCACCGCTTCCCCAGCGGGTGCGCACGACTGCGGCCCGCTGGGGAAGCGGTTGCCAGCGGTCAGTACTG